TCTATATCACAAACCCAATGGAAGTAATGGGATTCTGGCCTATTTTAAATGGTATTAGTGCGTTTTTATGCTCGTAAAATAGTGGATAAGAGGTGGAAATAAGAAAAAAAAATATTTTTCCTTTTCTCTTTAATGACTTCTTTACTTTTCTCCAAATGCAGGTTAATTGGCGTCTTTATAACCGACAGTTGTCATGAATTTCCGAGGTGACTGTGTCACCTTAAACTTGCTGGGAGGTGCTCTGCCCTTGCTATGCCACTGCATGCAGTCTTGCCTTGATTCAAGAACCCATATTTCCTCGTCAGTAGCAATACGACTGAATACACTATCCTTCTCTTCATTACCAAGGCCCAAAATTGGATGTAATTCCTCTAGGTGTTTGCGGAGGCATGAGCATTGGTTGACGATAGCTCAAAGATTAATTGCCTAATAACAATTATACCTCGTATTTATAAAAACTATGACTCACTGACCATGTTGCGATTATTATGAGTGTAGTCACCCCCTACAACCTCATAAACACTTTCTCGTTTTTTATTGAATATTCTCTATTTTTACATTTTTAATTTTTTTTAATTACTTTAAATTATTTTTTGTATTTTTAAATCTTAAGAGAGTTTTTGGGTATGCTAGTGTATTTATTATGCTTGCAAATTTATTTCTTTATGTATGTATTGCCTTTACTAAAGTTTGTTTTCGTGCACACGTATGCAAACAAGCAAACATATTAGTGTTTGTAGAATAAATATATACTTTACAATATACACATGAAAGTTATATTCGAAATTCATATTTCATTTTAGTGACAACTTCTGCTGCTGACCCAACCAGATGACGAGTCCTTGTTGTTACGCACACACTTAACATACATGTATACATCAGCTGGCTCTTCGTACGAAAAGCATTTGTAAGCACTCGTAAGTATGAGAGTGTGTGTGCATGCGTATGACTCTTGTTGACTGCTCACTTGCATATTCGAGAACTTACTATTGTTTGTTTATTATTTTTATTTCTACTTTTGTTTTAATATTTTGTTACTTTATTTGTTTTGTAGCTGGCGAAAAATGGCAGTAATCTTGCTCAGTATTTATTTGTTACAAAATTTTACTCCTCTGTTGTAAGCGCGCTCTACCCTTGCTCTAAGTGAGCAAGCAGGCAAAAAGTTTGTGACATACTTGTGTCAGATCCATTTCAAAGAGCATTAAAATGTATTTAGGGAACTCCCAGGCGACTGTTTTTAGAGTATTTATTTGCCTAGTAGTTAAGGCCAAAAAATAAAATAGTGCAGAATAATAAAAATAAAGTTGCGGCAGAGGTAAACACAATTTGCAGACATATAGAATGGGAGAAATACAGTACACATGCACTAAATAATCACAAGCTGTTTAAGCAAAGCTTTCCATCGACCAAACCAATGTCACGTAGCAAAACAAAAAATAAAAATAATGAAATAAATCAAAATTAAATAAAATAAATTAAAATAAAAATAAATAAAATATAATAAAATAAAATAAAATAAAATAAAATAAAATAAATTAAATTAAAAAATTGCAATGGATTAAATTTAGACAAAATGTGATATATATTTTCATCAGTTAAATAAAGACTAAATAAATATAACAAATTTATTTAAATTAAATAGGTTGGAAGAAATAAATTAATATACAATAACGCGAAATAAAATAAAATTAATTAAAATAAAATAAGTGCCCTTTCCGAGAAGAAGCATATTTTCTGGAAATTTATAAGTAGAATTAAAAATTTATTCATTATCTTTTTTATAATCAGTGACCCACAACTAATCTTAAGTGAATACCGAATTTGCAAAATCCGGAAACACTTACGGTTGAGTGGCTAATGTTTGAGTGCATTAACCCAATAAAGCAACAAATCTCCGAATCATACAAATATCAAACTGTTAAGCTATTAATATATGCAATGGTATATTGTGTTGTGATGATAAGCGCATTTCAGTTGGGAGTCCTTACACAGAAAATGCATGAACCACAAATGCGATTCTCTCTCTCTCTCTCTCTTTGCACATTTGTGTTCGAATATATGCAATGTTCTCAGAGGTTTACAAATTTAACGCTCAGTTTATTTTTTGAAATGAGCAGATTGCATACTACTCAGTAATGAATTGTGGATAATGAATTTCAAATGTATCAAAAAATGTAACGGTAATTTTTGCTTTGCAGTATAATTGCTTTTAATTGTTGAATGTTCGTTCTTAAATCATGGCTACAGGTTATGGATTGAGTTATTGTAAATTTACTTAAGTTAATGAAAATATATATTTTCAAACATATTTTTATTTTATTTTATTTTATTTTATTTTATTTTATTTTATTTTATTTTATTTTATTTTATTTTATTTTATTTTATTTTATTTTATTTTATTTTATTTTATTTTATTTTATTTTATTTTATTTTATTTTATTTTATTTTATTTTATATTATTTTAATTTATTTTATTTTATTTAATATTTTTTATCTGGTTTTATTTTATTCAATTTAATTTAATTTAATTTAATTTAAATTTATTTTATTTTATTTATTTTATTTTATTTATTTTTTTTTTTTATTTTGTTTATTACACTACATTAAAGCCAACTACCAGCCAGGGCTGTCGGCCTGTTTAACGTGTGGACTTAGTTGTTGGGCATAAGTTCACAGAGGCCATCGAACTAGAGCCATCCAGCTACTCTTCCAAGGTGTGTAGTATTTCTGAAGGAAGTTTCTTAAGGTTTTAGGTTCTTTCACCTCTCCTCAACTCTTCGAGATGTGATTTGACTTCTTTAAGTAGTGAGTTACTTCCGAATTTCTATTCAGACCCCTTTTAGGTACTTAAATGCTGGCCATGGACTAACCTAAATAACGTTAAGAAACGTTTCAATTCCAACACTGACCTAGTTTGCTTTGGAATAAGTTTTTATTTACTCCTCACTTGGCTAGGGTGCACCAAAATGGATTAAAGTTTAAGTATTTGCTCTGTAGAAACAATTCAAGCTGTGCCGGCCATACGTAAGTGTCTCTTTACAAAAGAGTAGAGACTAGAGAATACTTTCTTGAATCTACTCCCAGCGACGCTGTTACTAAATTACTGGGAAAGTGTCGCCGGTAGTTCCTTTTTAATTTCTTCCGGGCCTTCTAATGGATTTTTACGAGCAGCTCTTATGTCTTGTCAGAAATACTCCAAAATAGATATTTTTTGGTGAAGAAAGAAAGAATTTTTGGAAAAAGTTTTAAATAATTTTAAATACTGGTGAGACTAGGATTCCGATTGAGGTTTCTTCGTATGGTAGTACGCACCGCTAACCATCCGCCTTTCATACTTTGTTAGAAAAAAGAAGCATATTTCAATATACTTAAGTCCTTATAATCCACAATTCATCCTTATCAGCATATGCCTTATCAACAAAAGCAGGTTATATATTCATTTGTGTGTGTTAACGGATAACAGGAAACACGCGGAAATGGACAATGACACTGAGAACAAAGCTAAACGGGAACATATGCATTAAATCTGTAGGCAAAAGAAAAATAAAAGGTAGAAGAGGAGTTAAAAGCCACTGGAGCGTAATGAAATTCATGCGCTCTCTCACATTCACTCTCTCCGACTTGCTCTCTGACACCGTTCACTTTGTTACGTATACGCCAAGCTGTAGCACACTTTCGCTATGCTTCCACATATTTTTTCGAACTTAATTACGAAAATGTTTTGTCGAACACGAACGAAGCCATTCCTCGTTCGGCACTGTGGCACTAGTTAGACAGCAATAACTTCGTCTGTGGAGACGAATATTGTTTATCTTATGTTGTTGTTATTGTAGCAACGGTAGTGTAAAATCGTTGTGGCATTCGCGCGCCGCAAACGAGGAAAAACTAATTTTCCACCAATGGACTCGATTCAGTCTTGTGTCGGTATTAGCATTGGACGGGAACGTTTCCTGCGAACGACAAAAACTAACGGTTTAGCAAGCAAGCGAGCGAGCGCGCAAAATGTGTAATTAAATGTGCAGTGGTGGTACAACAACAAATACACATATGCCATGCAAGCAGAAATGAAATGAAGTGCAGCGGAGAAGAGCTTTAAATATTTTCGGTGATAAATTGATAATAATAAAATGGAAAATAAGTGAAAAGTTTTCATACAAAATTTGAAAGCGCTTTAACGGTTATTTGAAAAGTTGAGCCAAAATGAACTTTGAACCTTGTGTTGAATGAAAAATGTCGGAAATATGCGAAGAAGAGTGTAAAAACATATTGGAAATGAAATAAAGAAATATAGATTATATACTAAAATACTTCAAATATTTCTATAATAAAAATTTTTTAAATAAATAAAAAAAAAAATAAAAAATAAAAATAAGATAGTGAAATGACCAGGTTTATTTTGCAAAAGTAGGAAAAAAATTAATTAAATTAAATAACTAATGTAATAAATAAAAGTGAATAAATTTTTCTTTAAACCTCTCCAAATTCATGTAAATGGTTGAAATTAAAAAAAAAAACAATAACAAAAATAAAATTAAAAATAAAAATATATTAAAATTTAAAATATATTTTTTTATTAAGTAAAAACTTCAAAAATAGTAAGATTTTACAAAAATTTCTAAAAAAAAAAATTCAACATAAAAGTAATAAATATTAGAAATCTTACAAATTACACCAAGCGAAAGTGCAACAATTATTACATAGCAACTACCATGCAACATACCAATATATACACGTACAAACTAACATTCCTGTATGCCCTGCGAAAGTCATAAATATTTGTTGCCGGCAGTCTTATTTGCTTACACAACGACGTTGAATTACGAGGTGTTCGCCGCAATTTTGTGTGCGCTTCCGGCGTCATTTGTGCATTTCCGTTTGTGCGGGCAGGCGTGCGTGCCAATATACATACATAAATATTATATGAAACTAGAAAAAAAAATAAAAATAAAAATAAAAATAAAATTAAAAGCGTTTAATCGAAAAAGTGTTTAGCAAGTGTTGCTGTTCGTATGCAGCTTAGTGTTGGTAATTTAAAATTTTACTTTTCAAAATTTTGTTGCAAAATGAAAAAAAATTAAATAAATAGCGAAAAAATTGAATTTTTTTGGATATTTTGTAAAAAGTATACGAAGTGGAAATAAGTAAAATTGCAGCAAATTTAGGTATCAAACTAAAAAATAATTAGTAAGTCGCACTTGCAGCATTGCCAGAAATAAATTTATAATAATTAATAATAATTTATATATTTTTTTCACGCTGCTACTTACATAGAGCAGGAGCAAATTATGGGCTGTTCAAATCTTAAAATTATTCTGAACATTTTATACCCAAAATTTCTTCACATATTGACTTCAAAGCACCATAGACTGATATTAAGCTTCTACCGAGTTAAAAATAAATTCAATAAAATATTTTTTTCATATATATTATTTTTTTTTTTAAATTTGATGCACAAAAAAGCATTTTAAGCTTTAAAAACTCATTTAAAATATGAAACACAATTTTGATTTTTAACATAAATTAATATTACTGCCTAGCATATAAAAGTTTACGGTGCAACTCTTACTTCGACAAACTTCCAAAAATTAAAGAAAAATTTAAGTAAATAAAAAAATTACTTTAATTATTAAAATTGCCTTCGCTCTTCGGCAGGGAATGCCAAGCTTTCTGAGTGTATTTTTGACATGAAAAAAAAAAATTCTCATAAAAATCGATCAGCCGTTCGGAGGCTACTTAATAAAAATTTTGGGTTGCTTCATTTTTCGGTAACTAAAAAAACATTAAGATGTAGGACCCTAAAGTTGAGGAGGAGCTCGAACAAAAATCTCTTCAGCGGCCAATTATAAAAATAGCTTAATAATTTCAGAATGAAAATTCAAATTTTTTATGTTTAATGTTCGAGAAGCACATATTTCGTAAGCTTATGTGTGGGCTTTGGAAACATGAATCGTCGAAAATTGTGAAATTTTTTAAATTTTTTCATATTAATTTCAACTCGATTGAAATTGAAAATGCTTTTTATAAGGATTTATGTTAAATTTTTAAGATATTTAATTTATAGCAATATATAAATTTTCTTTTAATTTTTTTTCTATTATTTTTCTAGAAAAAAAAAACTTAAATTGACATGAAGTTAAAATAAAATACTGATTTATTATATATTGGACCTCTTCATATTTCCTACTAACTATCACATTGTTTCTTTGGAGAAAATATTTTTTATTGGTACTAGAATCGCCAGACTACGCTGTGCTCTTATGCTGGAACATGCCACATACAACTGGCTATGTGAGAAGCAGGTTTCTCTCAACTCCACTCCAGCTACCTTGAGAGTTGCAAGCAAAACTGCACTGTCTTGGAAACGAAGCGTTATTTTGATGATATGAGGGGAATTGATGGACTAATTATGGTTTCTCGATACTTTTCGATGCAGAACTTTCACATGAAATAGTGGCATTGTACATTTTTGGTGGTTTCAATATGTCAGTTAGAAGACTTTGAGACTTTAGTGTCTTCAGAAATTCTACTCTATTATGGCCATCAACCTCAAGGATGCTCGATATTTGTCACTAAATCGATAGATTTATGCTATTATTTGTTTTTCAAAAATAATATATTGCGCTAATAGCAATATTTTTGATGACGTCATCATACTATTTTACACTTTGTATTATTTTTGATAGTTTGTAATGAAAATATAAATGTGCTTTTGCCTTATACCATTTGGCATAACCAGTCAAAGAATACTTTATTTCTATTATTTTTCCAAATTAAAATACAAAAATTATTAATACCGCTCAAGTGGAGTAAAAAACAATTGTTTCCGCATTAGATGAAATTTCGCAATGGACTTGAATTAATTTGATCAATTTAAACATGCAAATATCAAACATATCGAACTGTAAATAGATCAGTTCCACCTGCAGGGAGAAAACAAAATAAATTCCACTTCAAACCGTAAATAAAAATATTTCGAATTGATCGGCCCACTTTCCGGACGAAAAAGTTTTTGTCAATTTAGAACGAGAAAGAGTTGTTTGTATTCTGAATTTCATGTAAATCAAACAATTCAAAAATAAACACAATTTTTTGAAACTAGTCTCTAGATCCATTTACCAGAAAACCTTTTCTTATCCAGTACATATTTCATACGCAGAAGCCGCGCTACGAGTTAAGGTGCACACCTAGTGTATTGACCTAAAAAATGGTGATTTTTGGGAATTTTTATTAAAAAAAAAATACTCTATCAATTATTTCAAAATTTTAGGAACATATTTATACATATTTCAAGAATATACAGTGAAATTTTTGTAGAAAAAAAATTAAATATTTTTTAAGTTATAGACGATCTCCAACGGTGCGAAAAAAATGGATCTTCACTGCTGCAGTGATTCCGGCTTTCTCTGTGGATGAAATTTAAAAAAAAAAAAATCTCGTTAAACTTGATAATATTGTCTGTAAAATGACCTACGATAAAAAATCAATCAAAAATTGACATTAAGGCGACGTTTTAAAAAAAAATAGTCGAATTTTATCCAAAATTTTGGTTGTTTTTGGTCTGCCGAAATTCGATTTTTTGATCAGATCAAAAATCGATAAGTCATTATACGGAGAACCATATATAGAACTTGTAAAAAAAAATTCAAATTTTCGATAGTGTTCGGATTATTTGTTTTTGAGTAATCACTGCAGCAAAGTCGGAAAATGCTGTTTCTAGAAAAACGCGTTCAAAGACAAAATGATCGTTTTCACTCGTAGCTAATAAGACTCTCTAGCTGCAGAGGCTGCTCTTTAAATTGTTATAACTCAAAAACTATTTGAGATATCGATTTGAAACTTTAATATGTTATTTTTAGAAGTATAATCTACCGAAAGATAAAACTTCACACTAGGTGTGCCCCTTAAGGTAGTTAAAAAAAGGTATTGCCATAAAAGCCTCAGCCGAACGATTCAAAATGAATGATAATTTTGCGTCATATTTTTTTGCTATTCTACAGACTTTCGTTCGTACCGAAAGCTTAATAAATTGAACATGTTTTACTTACTTGCTTTGTTATTGTGGTCGGAGGCGTTTGTGGTCGGAGGCGTTTTGTTAAGAAAATTCTCCATCTGCAGCCATTACCTTCGCTACTCATATGTACTAAATCTGAACTTTCCTTTTCGCCAGCACATTTTTATTACCTCTTCAAAAGCTCAACTCCTTTCGACTCGGGAAGCTGATCAATTACATTTAAAAGCATCTCTTTAGTCTTTTCAAAAATTTTATTTTTTAATGTCATACAAACCACGGCTCAGAAATCGCCACGGAGATCCAGTTCAAGTGCGATAATGAGCAATACACATACTCATACATACAAACTACTGTAAGCATAAAGTAAGGTGAATTTATTTGTAAAATTAAAATTTTTATTTTTTCTTCTACATCGATTTCATCGCCTTATGCCAACGCTTTTTCCAATTATCGATGCATGCCAAATAGTTACGCTCTAGTATGACCTTCAGAGAGCGCGACAATTCACGTTGAATCTCCTCAATCGTCTCAAAACGGTGTCTTCGAAGTGGTCTCTTGAGTTTTTTGGTAGAGCCAGCAATCACATGGTGCTAATTCCGGCGACTATGATGGTTGGTGAACGATATCCGTGGAATTTTTAGCGAAATGTTCACGAAGTCATGAGTGCTGTGTGCATTATCGTGATGCAAAAAACCACGAAAGCGCTTTAAATCGTTTGGTAAACATAAGCGTAACTAAAATGCCCATGACGACATTGTGATGAAATTTGGATTAGACGTCAATAACAGTGCTACCAACATTAAAAAGAAAGAACTAAACTGTAATATTAAACGTGCGATGCTCAAATTAAAAATTCACCTTACTCTTTGCTCACAGTAGTATAAAATGCTGCAGCTTCGCTATTCAGTCGCTCTTCTATGTTAAGCTTACAACTGTAACTGTTTAATAGAGTATCACATTTGTGTACTGTTTGAACTAATTAAGCTGTAAAGGGCGCATAAGATGTGAAAGCTTTCTAAAATGACTCAAAATTTAAGAAACAAGGAGGGATATACATATCATTTTTTTTTAATTTAGATACTGAAACAATTTTTTAATAATGAGCTGGATTTCGTGAGTTTTAGCATATTTCATTACATAGACTGTTCGAAAGCTCGGCTACTTTTTTTACAAACAATTTTTTTTGGGTAAAATTCATTTCATTTCTCAGCCTATTTGTGTTTTAAACTTTGGCATGCCCTTCTTATAGCATGAATTTTCAAAATTTAGTTTAGAGTTCAACCTCTGCATCACCACATAGTCATCTTCTTTAGATCCGACAACGGAAAATTGCGAAATCTGACGAATACATTGTGCTCGAGAGTGGATTTGTTGTGTTTTCAAAAGCATCTCCTACATTAATCGTACTAAAAGCGACGTATAATATGCACCGGTAATCGTTCTAACTTTTTCTAGTTAGTCGAGCAAGAATATGCGCTTTGTATCCTAAAAAATACAAACTTTACTAGCGAAGTATTGTGTATTTGGTCGCTTTGGTGCAGCTCCAACTGCTAGAGTGAGCACTTCCTTAGAACCCTCACGCGATTGCGGTGTATCCTAAATTTAAAACCACACAAAAACTATTTCGGCTTGCTGATCGGATAATATTTTTTATACTCGAATTTTATTTTTAATTTTCTAAAATATTTTTTTGTGTACATACAACATGAATGTGAGAAATAATAGTGTAAAATCATTATAGAGAAGGCTGCCAGAGAGCTTTAGGCTAATATTTTTTCAAGTGAAAGTTTTATTGTAAAAATTTGAGTTCTATATTTTTAAAGTGAATCTCTGAGAGTTTCATTCCATTTACGAATTTTTGTTTAATTTTAAATTATTTTGAATTTTTTTTTTAATACGGGTTTACCTTTAGAGGCATATTAATTATTAAAATTTATAAAGCATAGAGAATTAATCTCAAAATCCATCGCTCTCTAATACTTACAATCCCTTCTACGTACCCAAAAGTTTATAT